AAAGGGGATGATTATCCTAATCCTATAATGATTAGGATAACTACAACATATGGATAAATACAAGGGAGGATAATGACAAGTCTTGGCCGCCTGGTATGGATAAGGATAAGGTGCTTGTCGCCTGGTCTTGGACTGAAGTGAGACTGATGTGGTCTGGTCCATTTCCGGATATGTCCCAACCATCATTTCTCAACACTAACACAATATTCTGCTTTAATAAAGTAGATGAATTGATACTAATTTTAAGGGATTTAGAACATATTTTGTTTTTAATTGTATAAATCAGATTTAAAAAAAATATTTAAAAAGGTGTGAATAAACAGATTTTGTAGAATAATGAACTAAATCACATAATAAATTTATTTATTTATAGTTAATTAATTTATTTCTTAACTATATCAAAGAGTTATTTTATTTTGAAATGTAAAGTAAGTGATTGGATGGCTTTATTAAAATTCATTGGATTTTAATCTTTAGTCAGAGTTGACTGGCTGATCTTGTAATCTCTCTTTTAATTGGAGGGTTTTCTCGTGACGACACTGAGAACTTGGTAAGCCAAAAGTTGCAAGGTTTTAATTCTGTTTCTCGATCGAAACTAAACCCCAGTTTCCCACTTTTGTTTCAGAACCTAAATCGCGTCGATAACGCTTTGGGATCTTGAGGTAGAATCTCGTTTATTCTTTTGGTTTAATTCTGTTGCTTTTCGAATTTTCTCTTGTGATCGAGAATCGAGAGTCTCGAGAGAAGACATATACTATGTCGCCATCACATCGCACTTTAAAAGATTGTGATTCTCGGGGTTTTAATACTAATTAGGAGAAATAGATGAAAAACATTGTTGGTGTGATTGATAATAAAAATGAAAGGGGATTAGTGTCAATAATAATAATCCATCTTGTTGTGTTTGTTTCATGTAGATTTTGTATCTGCATCATGTTTTGGTTATCTTCTTCTTATCATGGTTTGTAACAGTTAGCAACACTTGATGGATAACAACAATTCAAGGCTTTCCGGGGACCAACAGAGACAACTGTATCAATCCCAAAGAACCCTCTCTGAGATGCCATCATGTATGCTCTTTTTAACATCCTTGTAAATACTTTAGTTTCTCATACTTTACATAATCCCTCAGGCCTCAGCAGGATCTGATGCTGAACAAACCCACTTTTTTTATTTATATATTTTAGCGTCGCTTGGCTCCACGGCAAATGAGGTTGATTGGCAAGAGGAGCTTTACCAAAAGGTAGTTGTTTCTATGCTTGAGATACATTAAGTTTGCTATATTAAATCTTCAAGTGATAAATGTAGCAAGGCAGGCGATCTTTCATGTATATCACTGTAAATGAGTAATTGTGTGACCATGGTGCTTTGTCTTTGCAGATCAGAACTATGAAAGACAAGTACTTACCAGATCTTTGCGTAATCTCCCAGAGAATTGCAGCCAAGTTTCAGCAAGTAAGTTGCGATTTTTTTTCTTCTAAGAGAGTACTTAGTAGTGTGTATGTCCTCCAAAACAGTAGTAGTATCTTAGTGCGAATTCCTATGAATTCAATGAAAGACCGGTTCGATATTGCAAAAGAAAGTCAATACAGCTTTTTGGTATCTTGTTAACTATTTCACCAAACGATGCTCTTGACGCTCGTATTGTTACTGTCCACTAGAAAGTAAAACATCGGATATTTCTGTTCCTTCCCAAACCCCACAAAGGTTGTATCTTGCAGCTATGTGCTTGTCTAGTTTCCTATTTAACACATTCCTTTTTTTTTTCTCTCCAGCAAAATTCTCTTCCGCAGCAACAAAGATCAGAGCAGTTTGAGAAATTGAAACAATTCAAGACGATGGTGGAGCGAATGATACAATTCCTATCGGTTTCAAAGAGCAATCTCGTTCCTGCATTTAAGGATAGGGTGACTTTTTATGAGACGCAGATTATAAGATTCGTAAATATGCACAGGACGATGAAGCCAGTACAGAAAGAGCAGCTTCCGCAATCTCAGATGCAGCAGCCTATGCAGCAACAATCATCTCAGAACGGTAAACATTCTCATGCGCAAATCCGCAGATGCAATCCATTTTCTTGGTGTGATAGATGGATGTTGGAGCTCAGTAGCATCCATTTTTCCCACTTGATTTGTTTTCTCTTGAAGGTTTTAAATGGAGGTAGAAAATCTGTTGTTAATGCTTTGTCCACATAGGTAATCTTGCCATAGACAAAGTTGTCTGGAGAACTCTACATCCACCAGCATCACGCCAGAAAAATGTTAACAATCTGTGAGTTTCTTCCTCATTCCAAATTTGTCATATTTTCTCACTCTAGCTACTCATTCCCTCCCCAAAAGCCAATTTAATGATAAAAATTTATGTATTTTACAAAGTTACTTTTGTCATTTGAACAGATTGGAAACACTGAAGAAACAAGTTCCCTATTCTGGACAAGACGGAATCGAAGAGCTCACGAGAATTGCTGTCAGCTTCGAGGAGTTAATTTTCAACACCGCGAAAAATCAGGTTTCACTTCTTCTTTTTTTTAATTAATTAAGCTCAATGTGTACATCCTCTACTTTGTTTCTTGATGATGTGTGTTTCAGTTGGACTACTATTGCAAAATATCCTTGAAGATACAGAGTATGGAATAGGGAAGCTAAGCCAAATAAGGAGGAAGGCAAATGCATGTCCATATTGGTATGTAAAGAAGAAGCCTGCAAATGTTTAAAGGAAGGCACGGAGATGTCAAAAAAAAAAAGGAAGGCATGGATAAAGTGATTTCTCGTTTCTTCTAAATCTTTCTTTTTTGGTGGAAACAAAAACTAATAGAAAGTTATCACTTATAAATAGGTTTATGTTAACTCTAATATTCAATTTTTTTCGTTCTTATAATTGGTTGATACGAGCTATTACAGTCTGCAGCTACTCTGAAAAAGTCAAAACGACATGAATTGATATTAAAACGTCGTCGTAGTAAGCTTCGTCAACATATTTAAAACACAGTGAGCTTATAGTTTCGGTTTAATTGGAGGGGGTTAATGGTAATTTAAAAAAGTAGCGCGACGACATTGAAAACTTTGGTCATAACTTATAAGCGAAGTTGAGAATACACATTTCGCAGCTTATGATGATGATTCATGACGCATGAAGTTTACTTCCTCTGCGTTTCCCCAAAATCATTCTTTATATATTCTTCGAATTCCATTTCTCGATCAACCTAAGCCCTAATTTAACTCGCTATTTTTTATTTTTTCCTAAAGCCAGACCCTAATCGTTTGTAACAACCGCGAAATCGTCTCGACACGCTTTGAAAATTCGAGGTGAATCTCGTTTTTGTTTTTGGGTTCATTCTTTTGCTTTTCGAGTTTTCTCTTGTGATCGGAGTCTCAGGAAGCTATAGAATATAGCCATCGCTCTCAACAGATTGTGATTCTCGCCTCGGTTCTTACTAATTAGGAGAATAGATTTAACTTTGTTGGTGTCATGTCGTAATTTGTTTCGTCTGTGGCTTTCTGCTACGGACAGGAGACAAAAGTGGTAATAAAAAGTTGAAAATTTTGGTTGATCAATGCAACACAACTTCTTTTGATTTTCTTTTTGAGTTGGTGATTCCTTATTTAATTTTGTTGGTGTCATGTCATAAGGTATGCTTATTTGTTTCGTCTGTGGCTTTCTGCTACGGACATGAGACAAAACTGGTAATAAAAAAATGAAATTTCATTTTTTTGGTTGATCAGTGCAACACAACTTGTTTTGTTTTGAGTTGGTGAGTCCTTAAATTTTTGATGTATCAAACTTGCTATGATTAGCCTAGCTGGTCTGATTATTGGGCATAAATGGAGAAATGAAAGGGACATATATTTGAGAAATTATGACTGTTAATAATAATAATCCATCTTGTTGTGTGGTCGTTTGTTTCCTGTAGTTTTTTTGGGGACATCGCATCATGTTTTGGTTATCTTCTTATCATGGTTTATTAACGTAGGAACATTTAATGGATAATGATAATTGGAGACCTTCTATTCCAAAAGGAGAACCTGCCATGGACACTGGTGACTGGAGAAGTCAATTACCACCTGATTCACGCCAGAAGATCATTAACAAGATGTAAGTTTATCTAATATTTGAATATTTACTGATGTTGTCAGATATATACATGGTGTTGTTACACTTCTTTGACCAATAGTACTTTTTTTTACTTGCCAATTGCATTCAGAATGGAAACACTAATGAGGCACCTTCCTCATTCTGGACCCGAAGGAATTAACGAGCTCAGTAGAATTGCAGCGAGGTTCGAGGAGAAAACTTTCAGCAGTGCTGTTAACCAGGTTATTTAATAGTCTGCAAGAACATCCACTTTTTTTAACAAAGTGGAAAATAATAGAGTTTTGGTACCCCTATATGGGATATCAAATCCATGTATACCTCCCTGATTTTCTTTTGTTTCGAAATTTCAGTCTGATTACCTTCGGAAAATTTCCATGAAGATGATGACTATGGAGACTAAATCGCAAAATGCAGCTGGCGCTTCCTCATCTATCCCTGCTGCTAATAATGCCACATCCATGGATTCAAGTAAATCATGATTCTCAACCATGTATTGCTTAACTTTACTTATCTGTTTGTTTTGGATGACTGTTCCTCTAATTTGGTGGTGTTTAACTTTTCTAGTACCCAACAATCAAGGGCAACTTCTTCAGGGGACGTTACCAAACAATCAGTCTCAAGCACCTCCGCCGTTGATGGCTCAAACCATGCAGAGTAATACAGCCTCTGGGATGACGGGTTCTACTGGTTTACCATCTTCTATGCCGCCTGTTTCTCCCATAGCCAATAATAACGTCTCAAGCGTTGTAAACCAGAATTCCAATATGCAAAATGTTGCCGGTATGTTGCAAGATTCATCTGTGCAGCATGGCCTTTCATCCAATATGATATCAGGATCCCAAAGGCAGATGTTGGCCAGGCCGCATACTATGTCTTCTCAGCAGCAGCAACAGTCGCAGAGTGCACAATATCTTTATCAGCAGCAGCAACTTCTCAGGCAGAATTTTCAGTCAGGGAATGTTACCAACCCCAATTCGCATTTGGCATCGCAGATACAACAACAGCAACAAAATGTGTTGCACCCCAATCAAATGCAGTCTTCTCAACAGCCTGGTAGTACGACATCTGCGATGCAGCCCTCAGCTGTGAGCTCAGCTCCCCTCCAGGGTCCCCAGACAAATCAGCAATTAAGTCCTCAATTGTCTGCTCAGCAGCAGACTACTTCACAGTCTATTCTTCGTCAGCATCAAACATCACTGCTAAGGCAAAATCCCCAAGCACAACAAACCTCTGGAATCCATCAGCTACAAACTTCATTGCCGCAGCAGTCTATTTCGCCCCAGCAGCAAGCACAAATGATGCGGCAACAAGCTGCAAGTAGCTCAGGCATCCAACAGAAGCAAATGATGGGGCCGCATGTTGTTGGGGATATGCAGCAGCAACAACATCAGCAAAGGTTACTGAACCAACAAAATAATATTATGAACATGCAGCAGCAGCAGAAGCAACACCCACCGGCCCAGCAGCAATTGATGTCTCAACAAAACAGCTTTCAGGCTACGCCTCAGGGCACTCAAAGCAATGTTGCAGGACTGCAGCGACCACAACAACAGTTGCTCAGTTCCCAGACCAACCAGCAGTCGGTGCACATGTTATCACAGCCAACCGTTGGGCTGCAACAAACACATCAGTCTGGCCATGGCTTGTATCCTTCTCAGGGACAACAGTCACAAAATCAGCCATCCCAGCAGCAGATGATGCCCCTTCAATCGCATCATCAGCAGTTACAACAACCTAATCTGCTACAACAAGATGTGCAACAAAGGTTACAATCTTCAGGCCAAGTCCCAGGTTCCCTGCTTCCACCTCAAAATGTAGTGGACCAACAGAGACAACTATATCAATCCCAAAGAACTCTTCCGGAGATGCCATCATGTATGCTTTTACATCCTTGTGAATACTTTAGTTTCTCACACTTTACATAATCCTTCAGGCCTCAGCAGGATCTGATGCTGAGCAAACCCCTTTTTTATAAATTTTAGCATCGCTAGACTCCACGGCTCAGACGGAAAGTGGAAATGCTGTTGATTGGCAAGAGGAGGTTTTCCAAAAGGTATTTTTTTTCTTTCTAATTTGGTTAATGCTTCATGTCTCCCGTAATGAGTAATCGTGTGACGTTAGTGCTTTGTCTTTGCAGATCAAAACTATGAAAGATGCGTACTTTCCAGATCTTACAGAAATCTACCAGAGAGTTACAGCCAAGTTGCAGCATGTAAGTTGTGATATTTTTGTTCTATGAGACTAGAGTGTATGTCCTCCGAAACAGTAGTATATGAGTGAAAATTTGTATGAACTCAATGCAAAACCGGTTCGACATAGCAAAAGAAAGTCATACAGCTTTGGTGTCTTGAAAACCCATTTCACCAAAAGATGCTCTTCAGGCTCGAATTTTTTACTGTCCACTAGAAAATAAACATCGGATATTTATGTTCCTTTAGCTTGCATCAATGTGCTTGTCTCTTTCTTTGAACACAATCCTTTTTTTTCTCTCGAGCAGGATCCTCTTCTGCCGCAACAAAGACCGGAGCAGTTTGAGAAATTGAAACAATTCAAGACAATGTTGGAGCGAATGATGCAATTCCTATCGGTTTCAAAGAGCAGTATTATGCCTCCACTAAAGAATAAAGTGGCTATTTATGAGAAGCAGATTATAGATTTCGTAACTATGCACAGGCCGAGGAAGCAAGTACAGCAAGGGCAGCTTCCGCAATCTCAGATGCAGCCTATGCAGCAACAATCATCTCAGAATGGTAATCAATCTCATGATAGTCAAGCAAATCCGCAGATGCAATCAATGAGAATGCCTAGGGCACAACAGAGTAGTCTGGAAAATATGCAGAACAATGTTCTATCATCTCGTCCTGGAGCTTCAGCACCACAGCAGAATATTCCCAGTAGTTCTGTACCGGCTCTTAGTTTAGAGTCAGGCCAAGGAAATGCACTGAATAATGGCCAGCAGGTTGCCATGAGATCCATGCAACAAAATACTTATCAACAAGTAAATAACAGTTCTGCCTCTGCTCAAAGTGGGTTAAGTACACTGCAGTCTAATGTTAATCAAACCGAGTTAAGTCCTAGTCTGCTTCAGCAACAGCACTTCAAGCAACAGAAAAACCAACAAATGACTTCGCAGCAGCTCAGACAGCAATGTCAACAGCGCCAGATTCAGCAGCAGCAGCAATTAATTCAGCAGCAACAGCAACAGTTGCAAGCAAGACAGCAAGTGGCACAAAATGATATGAATGTCAGTCGTGGGATGTTTCAGCAACATTCTCTGCAGGATCAGCGTGCTACTTATTCCCTTCAACAGTTGAAACCAGGATCTCAACTTCCTGTTTCGTCTCCTCAACTTTTGCCAGGTTCATCGCCTCAGATGACACAACAACATTTTTCTCCCCAGGTCGACCAGAAAAATGTGATCTCATCTCTCAACAAGACGGGAACTCCAGGGCAACCTGCAAACTCCCCGTTCGTTATCCCATCCCCTTCAACCCCCTTGGCACCGTCCCCTATGCAAGTTGACTCTGATAAACCATCAGGAGCTTCTTCGTTGTCAATGGGAAATATTGCACGCCAACAAGCAACTGGAGTGCAAGGTTTGGTTCAATCCTTTGCGTTTGGCACTCCGGGTATCTCTGCCTCTCCTCTCCTTCAGGAGTTTATTAGTCCTGACGGAAATAATTTAAATCCTATGACAAGTACATCTGGAAAATCAAGTGCTACTGAATTGCCTATTGAACGCCTTATCAGAGCCGTAAGAAACATTACATCTTTTTGTAGTTGAAACATTGTTCTGAATATTCTGATCATGATGTATATTTTTTTGTTACTTTCAGGTGAAGTCCATCTCCCCACAATCACTTTCTTCGGCAGTAAGTGACATCGGATCTGTTGTAAGTATGGTTGATAGGATGGGTGGTAATGGTTCAAGAGCTTCAGTTGGCGAGGACTTGGTTGCAATGACCAAGTGTCGTCTCCAAGCAAGAAGCTTCATGGCGCAGGAGGGGATGATGCCGACCAAGAAAATGAAGCGTCACACAACGGCAATGCCGTTAAGCGTTTATTCATTAGAAGGAAGCGTTGGTGATAACTGCAAGCAGTTTGCATGTTCGGAAACATCAGATCTGGAATCTACTGCGACTTCTATTGGTAAGAAGGCAAGAACTGAGGTATGTTGTTCAGTTAAGAAGAATATCTGAAAATTGACTCAAACAACAAAGAAGATTCGGAAGCACCAGGTTTCAGTTTTTTTTTTAAATATATTGAGGACTCAATCTTGGACTGCAGACCGAGCATGCCCTTTTGGAGGAAATCAAGGAAATAAACCAGCGGCTGATAGATACAGTTGTTGAGATTAGTGATGATGAAGATGCTGCTGATGGAGCAACATCAAGCAAAGGCTGTGAAGGAACAACAGTGAGATTCTCGTTTATAGCTGTTTCTCTCAGCCCAGCCTTGAAGGCTCATCTCAAATCAACCCAAATGGTAAAAGCATGGTCATATCTTTAAGATTTTGTGGAAAAAAAAGCGAATAATTTCATTTTATCCTTGTTAAAATATGTTTAGTACTTCTGTTGCAGTCTCCTATCCAACCATTGCGTCTACTAGTACCTTGTAGCTACCCCAATGGCTCTCCATCTCTAATGGATAAACTGCCTGTCGAAACCAGGTATAAGCAAAAGCCTTCAACCTCAAGAAATTTGAAACATAGATCTTTCATACTGAGTCAAGCAAAACTTCTAATATATAGTTTTAGTATCTCCGAAATCATATGGCTCATGTCTTCTAGAAACCCTCTATAAGAAAGAAACTGGATCATCGTCTTACCTTAAACATGGTCTTTTGAACAGCAAAGAGAACGAGGACCTGACGTTCAAAGCTATGACAAGATTCAACATATTGCTAAGAAGTTTGTCACAGCCGATGTCGCTCAAAGACATTGCCAAGACTTGGGACGCATGTGCTCGCACTGTGATCTGTGAATATGCGCAGCAATTTGGTGGTGGAACTTTCAGCTCAAAATACGGTACTTGGGAGAAATTTGTAGCTGCTTTCTGAATCTGATATCTAATCTCTCATCATGTCGTGATTGTAACTCTGTGATTCACTGTTTGTCATGAGACATGGTTCAAGATTTGTTATTGACAGCCATCCTTGGGCGTGGAGGTGTATAGTATATATAAAGGAAAGTGAGTAAGTGACTAAGTGAGGGATTCGTCTTTTAGTTAGTTGAGTCGTAAAGAAGAGTGAATTTGATAAAAGTAGAAAAATAGTAGGGTCAAAAGTGAAGTTAAAAAGATAAATAAATTGCTGCCAACCAAAAACAGCTCAAAAACTTTCAGTGAACACGAAACCAAACCATAAACTCTGTAGAGATGCAAAACAGCAGTACTCATGTAAAATCAGACAGCAAACCAGACTTGAAAAAGAAAATGGAATTTGGTTTTAAACAGCACACAATGCACCTCATACAATACACTCCTACACACATCACTCGTGTACTTAAAGTTGTGAGATTCATTTTATGTCCATATAGACAAAACGAACGTGAAGAGAACATAAACTAAAGAACTAACACTAGAAGATTACTGATATCATTCATCTCCTAAATCTTTTATGTGTTCTTTTTCCAGTTTTTAGTTGTCCCCATCACATTCAAGCACATAAAAGAAATTGGATCAGTCATAAAACATGATAGTCTACAAAGACTATTTTGTATTCTGTTGATCAGTTAAGCTAGCCAAAATAAGATGGTGAGCTTTAGTACCTGTAACATTTTCAAAAATTGGCAGTAGTAAGACTTTTATGTTCTTTACAACATTTTGAAGCATGGAGAGGCATGCTGATCATACAATATAACAGAGACGCTTACAACTTCCCCTTGTATTCCCATGCTCTGAAATCGATGCTGGGTTACAACCAGCAACATCTCACAATGCTTGGCGTTGCCAATGATGCCGGAGAGAGCGTTGCATTGCTTCCTCGTTACGCCTGCTTCAAGCTTCACCATGGATGGTTCTCTTAATAGGTGCGTGTGCTTGCTTCGTGGGCTAAAGACTCATTTGGCTTTCAGTTACTCACACTCTTCCTGATCTTCTCTTTTGGTTGGTGAGTTATACAGTCTTCACCTTTCTTCTCTAAGAATCTTGTCATCTCCCTCATTGATGTTTTCAACTACTCTCTATCCCGCAACCATTCTTCTATGCACGTGCTATGCATTTCAGTACTCTTACAGCATCCGAGCTCTTTGGACTAGAACATTTCAGCATCATATACAGTTTCATGATCCTAGGAAACCCAATTGGTCCAGTTCTCTTCTCCAGTTTAGTAGCTAGTCATTTGTAAGATGCTGAGGCTACTAGACAGGAAAGCTCGACTTGTTATGGACCTGAGTGTTTCAGGCTGACTTTCGTGATATTGATTGTTAGGATAAGACCAGTTTATTGGTCACTGTGCAGCTCAATATCTTTCAGGCTACCTCAACAGTAAACATAACGGAGGCTTAATGTCATGGTTATGTGTGTGGTAAAACAGCTCTTTAATTATTTTAAGAAAAGACTGTAAAAAGTGGTAAAAAAAGTAAAAGCTGTAAATATGTTTTTTTGACTGGAACAAAGACTTAGGCAAACAGCAAAGAATGAAGAGACAAAACTCATTACACAACATGATTACCCACACTCACCTTGACCTGACACACTCAGCACTCAAATCCTATTTTTTAATTTTTTTTTAATTAGCCCTAACAACAACACTAATCATACACACACTGAAAGCACAAAGAACAGATGCAAAACTTCTGGTGGAAGAACGAACTCTAAAAACCTCATCTCTCACCATCAAGAAACAGAACATCAAGTAGGTTTCAGATTCTGAAACATTGAGTCCCATTTGATCTCTTCAATAAAACTATCTTGGCTGTTCTGCGCATAAACCATCTCCTCCTTGACACTGTAATCAAAAACCATGGGACTCGAGAAGCTATCGATTCTACAAGGAGTCCCGTTGGTCAACAACAACATCTCTTGCTGCTTATGAACTCCTCCACCATTTGCGTTGCTGCTCGGCGTCACAGATCTCTTCTTCCTCTTCAGAAACCCTCCTCTCCACTTCCCAACCCCACTGCTGTTGCTACTTCTCTTCGGTACAAGCACCAGAGCTCGAGAAGAGTCCTCCTCTTCTTCGCAGCGGATCCATGCGCGTACGTGGTCAGAGACACACCTGCTTGTTTTCTTGATGGCAACCACGACTTTAGAGATGGAACGAGAGGTGAGAAGAGGAGATCTCTTGCGTTCTCGACGTGCGAGTTTGAGGATCTCGAGACGGTGTTTGGCGATGGAGACGCCAATGCTTTGGAGAAACTCGTGGTTGAAGTAAGCAATGTCTTCGTGTTCAAGCTCGTTCTTGGAGAAGGAAAGAGCGTATTCTTGGATGAGACAAGGTTCAAGATTTGTTCTCGACAGCCATGAGAACCAATCCATCTTGTTTTGTTGGGAGAGTTGTTGTGTTGTTGGGCGTGGAGGTTATGTATATATAAAGGAAAGTAGGTGAGTGAGGGCTTCGTCGTTAAGTTAGTTGAGGAGTAAAGAAGAGTAGGGGTAAGTTTCGGTAGAAGTTAAAATAGTAGGGTCAAAAGTGAAACTCAAGTTTAAAAGAATGAATATATTGCTGGCAACTAAAAACAGCTTTTTAAAAGTGAGATAATAAAAAAAGAAGATGCTGAGTGGTTTTGTAGAATATCGAGAACTTGTGGTGGTGAGTGTGTGGACAATGGAGTGTGACCATTAATCACGGTGTGGGTAAAGGAGCAAACCCAGTGGGATCTTTTTTCTTTTTATTGGGTCACTCACTCTCTTTGTATTCTATCCTTTGTGTTATTTACTATTGTCGTTTTTTAACTTAACATGTATGTATAAATAGTCCTAGTGTTTTTGGTTGGAATCTACTTTGCTTTGCTTTTACATAATAAAATATATAAGTCGATTGGTTAAATAGGAATCAACTCGAGGGACTCCTAGAAAACAGTTTCTTATACCAAATATGCAAGGGAATTGCTGCCAGATATCTGGGAATTAATTAGGGGTTCTCATTATGTTATTTACAAAAGACATAAATAATATAATCATATTAACCCAAACGAGGTAGCCTAGTGATATTTGCAGTACCGACCCTGAGGGGAAGCATTACAAGCAACCGCTTCCGACCCTCAAAAATACTTAAAAAATTTAGCCTTTTTATAAGAAAATTATTATTATAGTATACAAACGTTCTTATAAAAATGGCTAATTTTTAAAAAATTACTTCTTGTCTTTCCAATTTTATTTCATGTCAGGACCGGTACTGGATATTTGGACCAGAATCCAGTAAAAGAGATTGCATGCCTCTCATCTTCGTGAGCACTTAGAAACTAGTCGCCATTGGCTCCTAGTTGTTGATCATATAATGGTTACAAAAACCTATATATATATATATAGATATAGCATTTACTCAATAGTTATTAAAGCCCAGTTATGTGTTCCCTCATTGGTTATCAAAAAATAATAATGATGTCTTCCCTTATTGATAACATTATGCACATACTCAACATAACCGAAATTTACATTTTAGGGTTAGAGGTGAAAATTGACATGTGATACATAAATAGGAGTGGATGTCTATGGGACAACAAGCATTGTCATTATGCCACGTGGAGGAACTTGGATTGCAAGAGAATGATCACATGGGCTCAGCCTCTTTTCATGCAAAATATGCTCCCACCGGCCCATGCGAAAAAATGTGTCATGGCTAAACTAATAAGAGTTACTTAGGGCTGTCCAAAGTTGGAAAGATTGACACTATACACATGTGAAACAGTGAAAGTATAAGTGACCTCGCTGGTTGCGAGCCTACTACTGAACAGTGATGCTTATACAAAACTCATCTGATGTGGCCAAAGTATCGCACATCTTTAGACAAAAATCATCATTTAGTCACTTTCTTCAATTTTGTTTGACAAAAAAAAGTCACTATCTTCAATTTTTGTTCATTTGAGCTTCTAAACAAACTTCATTGCAAAGTTGCTATTTCCAAAACCGTAAGTAGAGATAATCGTTTTTCTCTATATCTTGCTCTAGATCCAGCGGCTTAGCTACATAATAGGATTCTTAAGGGACGAGATATTGATGCTATATATATGTATATTCTAACATATCAGTTTTGAGGCTCTATTGTTAGTTGAACCTTGGTCTTTGTGACCTTTCTTAGCGAAGCATTAAATATAGACAATACCATATATCAGAATTTTTTCAAAGTCCTAATCGTGTTGATTCGAGAGTATTATTCCAGATAATAGTGTCTTTTTTACGTACGCAACTACTAGAGTATCAAATTGTTTATTATATCGCGTGGATTTATAACGTAAGGTGTTTCTTTATAAAATATCCATTGGATTACACAATGGTACCACCTCTAGATCATTGACACAATTATTTAACAGTAGTTTCAAATTAGTATAATTTATTTGTTCGGTTGGTTTTAAGGACCGTTTTTCATTTGTGTTATCAAAGTCAAAGGGAGGTTGCGATTGTGTAGATCATTGGCTATAAAAAGTCTCAGGCCGTCTATTTAACGGCGAATTTATTATGGATCTGAAATCACTCTTAGGTATTCTTTTGTTTTTTTCGTTCAAATCTTTCTTACTAGTATTCTAAGAACCTCTCTTAGTGGAAAGTGTGGTCACTGGAAATAATGTATGGTAAGAAGTTTGCATTATTGATTAATTTATTTGATCATTGGATTTTGGAAACAGAACGCACACAGGTCGTGTTGTGTTAAATCATTATTTATTATGGAAAGCCTCGTTACTCTCGTCAAAAGCCCTTTCTCTGATTTTTAGTAATTCTACATTTGATTTGACGCTCAACGACTTGTTTACTCCTACGATTATATAATTTTTTTTTATCATTTTAGCATCACAGAATTCAAAATTCCAATCGTACCTGATCACGCTTAACGTTAATTTTTTAAAAAAAAATTATTGAAGAAGATTAATTTGTTGAACTTATTTATGGAATAGCCATAAAAAGAATTAAATTTAAGAAAGAAAGAAAAGAAAGATATGAAGAGAAATGAAGAGAGAGAAAGACATTTTAACTAGTTAACTTTTTTTTTTCAAACTAAAATATTCATTCAAGCTTCAAATGTTTACATTCTAACAGAGAAATTAGATTCAAGCAATACAAGAGCTGATTTAGCCACGGAATCAGTTATAACATTACTCAACCTAGGAACATGACGAAAAGAGATAAATTGAAACGAAGAACTGAATGCCTAGTTAACTAATTTTGATTTTTTATGTAGCTATAAGGTGCAATTTCTATAATTTGTTCTTTTGGAAACATTATTTTTATATGTTAGGTGTTATCAAAGGAATGAATGTGTATACCCCCGGTCATGACGAATAATAATATCCTATAATTTATACGCACCTTTAAGAACTTGTGGGAGATATTTACAATGTATGATGTAACATTTTATTTCATTACCAACATAAAACTATATTTTTTAGATATATTCCATTTTAACTCTAAAATAAGTTACATAATGAAATTCATAAAAAAAATGTTGCTATCAAAAGGTGGTGCCCAGTGAACGGGATCTGAGAAAATGAAAAATAGCAAAGAAATTAAATTATAGAATGTGAACGTGTAAGAGAAGGGGGACACATACATAAGTAGAAAGTGACCAATCCGCCTCCCCTCAACAAATGTCGAAACCTGTTTATTATTATTATTTATTCCATTAATCAGTATTAGTGCCTTTCGAATTTCTTTACGATATACTAACATACAAATATACTTTTGACAGTAGTGTGTGGAGAACTTTGTTAGCTTGAAAACCACTTTAGCTGCCATATGCAAAAATAATAAAAGTTGAGTTCGATAGATCAAAAAGTATGTGGAGAAACGTATTCGCGTGGGTTTAACGCGCCTGACGTCGTGATATGAATGGGATGTTAAAAACTGGAACAAAAAATGAGTATAAAAATAAATATTGAAGTTCATCAAATCGTCACTTATCTCGTGAGATTTATGGACGGACACACCCCCGATAGGACCCGCCTGCATTGCTTTTGGCCGGAGCCTTTTTCATATTATTATTATATACTATCAATTCAATTTATATAATAGAAAATAGTAAAGCAAAGATGCAACCACCATCCCTCAAATCCCCTTATTTTATTACCATCCCTTACAATTTTTTTTCCTTTTAGTTTCAATTTGTTTATGTTTGGATTTGCTTTTTTTTTTTTTTTTGGCATCAAGTTTGGGTTTACAATAATACTCTATTATTCACATTTGTATCATTTTCTTCCCTTTTGTCGGCATTTTTCTCCTTTTGCTTGGTTAATTATATGTTTCCTAAGATTATTTCTTGATTTATATATGGCTGAAGGGCTAAATATTGACAAACAGCAGTACTGTTGAATAATAGTATGAACAATGATATGAAAGTAATTCGAATTTATATGTGGTAATAAGAAATGAGAAGTGACGAAATAAATGGAGTATATTTTTCCCCTGCTGTCTGACAATTTTATTTTCTGTTAACTATAGATATGGTATGTGTATTTATGATGCTTCGCTTTCTTCAAGTAAATTTATCTGAACTTGTACTGCGTACTGTTTATTTACCACGTCCTCGTGATCCGTGATTGTTTAGTAATGGAAGTAGGCAAAGACAACTATGGTATAAGAACTATAAATAAATACCCGGTTCTAATACAATATACACACAAGACTGAACTGCTGTAAAAAGAAAAGAAAAAACATACACAACACAAGTAACACAACGCTATCACTTTAGCATGTTTACGTCACAAATATAGTAACATCATCGAGGCCGGTTCTGGACCAAACAGAATAAACACACTGACCTTGGTTCCTAAATCTTTTTCAAAAAATGACATGTACATAAACTCTTAGCAAAAAATTCTAGGCCCTAAATCTCTAAAAAACATTTTTTAAGTAAAATCGTTAAAAATCATCTTAGATTCTCTAATTTTCAGGGCTGGGCTTTAACATCATGTACAATTTTACTATTTTTTGAATAAACATGTAATTTTACTCGGGTGTTAAGAAAAAGTACGTAATTTTAGTTTTATCCTGAATAGTTGCAAAATGAGAAATTAGAGATCTCCAATGTAAAATTCCATACTTTTAAAAAATTAAAATAAAAGTGATTATGGAGTAAAAATGATCAAATCCCATTATATTTTTAACTCCATAATGGAGTAATGAACAAACGAAAAATAGATTACTCCATTTATGGAGTTAATTTCATTATGGAGTAAAAAATGAAGTGGAGTTGGAGCATTTTTCACTTTATTTATAGAATAAATCTCATTATGAAGTAAGAAATTGAGTGGAGTTGGAGCATTCTTCACTCCATAATCACTTCTACTCCATTTTGAAATTGGAAATGGAATTGAGATGAAGATGTCCTTGGATTTAATAACCAAAACATACTTTATTAATTCAGAAAATGAG